CTGGAGTGGTGGGGGGTGGGAGGGATCGGGTGGCTGGGTGATAGACATTGGGGAGGGTATGTGCTATGGTGGGCGCTGTGAATTGTGCAAGACTGTTGAATCACAGATCTGTACTTCTGAAACAAATAATGCAACATATGTTCAGAAAAAAGAAAAAGAAGATAGCAGGAGGGGAAGAATGAAGAGGAGTAAGTCAGAGGAGGAGACGAACCATGAGAGACGATGGACTCTTAAAAACAAACTGAGGGTTCTAGAGGGGAGGGGGGTAGGGGGATGGGTTAGCCTGGTGATGGGTATTAAAGAGGGCACATTCTGCGTGGAGCACTGGGTGTTATGCACAAACAATGAATCATGGAACACTACATCAAGAACTAATGATGTAATGTATGGTGATTAACATAACAATAAAAAAGAGTTGTGGCTCTGAGGTCAGACAGCTCATGTGGATCGTGCCTCCCCCACTTATTTGCTGTGTGACCTTTGCAAGTGTCCCAGCCTTTCTGTGCCTCAGTTTCTTTATCTGTGAAATGGGAGTAATATCAACAGCACCTGCCTCACAGCATTGTTATGAGGACTGAATGGGTTTGGAGAGAGAGACAGAGAGAGCCCTTGAAAGAATGCCTGGCCCAGTACTGCTCGCCCCAGTGTTTGAGCCTGGGTTCACCCACAGACAACTGTGTGAAAGGACTTACATGCAAATAGATCTGTTCAGAAAATGACCCCAGCAAGCACCTGTAAGGGAGTGGGAAAGTGAGACAGGGACCAGGAAGAAGCCAAAAAAGAGTGCATGAATGACCAGGTTGCCTTCGCAGACAACTAGGGCTCGGTCCTGATGGGGGCCTCTGCGGAGGGTAGAGAACCCCTCAGCAGCCCTTCCCCAACCCCAGGGGCAAGGAGGCTGGGATGGGCAGTAGAAAGCAAAGGAGTCCCAGCAGTGACTGTCACATCAGGCTTTTCTGAAAAATTCAAGCATCTCCCCTGGGCCCCTGAACACCACTGATAACATACTGACACACCGAGCTCAGGAGGGAGTGGAGGGTTCAGGGCCAGAATTTGCTTGATGTCTCCACACTGATTCAAAAAATGTCTATAAAACACCCCCCTTCCTCACACCACCCGGGCAGGGATCTGAGACTGCCCTCTGAAGTATTTTAAGCAGGGCCCACTGGGATACAATCCACCTGGCCTTTGCAAGCATCGCCTCCAGCTGAGGACAGGAGCTCAGGAAGCAGGGAGCAGAAATTGGCCTGGAGCAAGGCAGTCGTGTATAGTCTCCTCCAGCCACCCTGGCAATGCACATCGGGCTTGGTTCTGAGTGGCAGGCCATTCAGGCCTCCAGGCTGCAGCAGAGAACTTAAGGAACCAAGAGTTGGGGGCTAGGAGAACTGAGCGAGGATGGGTCCTAGCTGCTTCTGCAGTGGAGAGCTGAGCTACTGGGCAGGGGCCCTGCCGGGCCTTCCAAGGCCCAGGAACAGGAGGGCACTGAGCCTACAGATGGAGCCTCTGAGAAGGGCCAGGAAGGTAGAGGCTGACACCTGATTACTACACAAGGGCGCGACTATTTCTGACGACATGAAGGGACAGTGGGGAAGCCGTACCATCACCTGACCCTTAGGCAGGTGATTTCAACAGGCTGAACTCATTAGGATGTATCTTGGATGCTGTGGTACCAGCCAAGGGGCGAGAGGTATTAAGGGATTCTCAGCCCACACTTCCAGCCTCCAGCAACCTTTGCCTGGGTTTTCTTCCTCCTCACCTCCTCCTTGATCAGCACTCAAGACTCCCAGGACCCAATCTGGCATTCACTCCTGCTGCAGTGTCAGAGTAACTCAGCAGGTGGGGGCAGTGCTCTGGGTGCTGAGGGCCTGGATGTCTGCCCCGCCTTCCTTCTCTGTCCCCTGAACACCCTTGTACTGCTTCCCAGGCCCTCTCATAACCCGTCAGCTGGAGAAACAGTGGTTTGTCGATGAAGCCAGAGGGACAGCTGGACAGGGGTCCTGGGATCCCCGAAGGCCATCCCCAGGCAGTTCTAAGACTTAAAAGCGCGGGGATACAGTTGGGCTGCTTCAAGACATTCTTTGGTCAGATACATGCTGTGAGCGAAATCAAAACTTCCTCTTGGGTCTCATGCAGAGGAGTGGGGGGAAGGCAGGCTCCTCACATGCTGGGGCAAGGAACTCTGTCTTGGCTGAAAAGAAGGTCAGTGGTGATCTGACCACTGTTTCCAGAACTGGGGCTGAAGGTCCAGGACACAAAGGTAGTGCATCTTACCAAGGGGTAAGCACCTCAACTTCACGCATGAATGGTGAAAATGTTGAAAAGGGAGAGCTGTAGATTTGATATTTAAGCACAGGACTGGGAGAAGGGAAGGAAAGGGTTACCCTTAACATGTAACTCAACAGATTTCCCGATCCCAGGATTCGCCAGGTAGCATAAACTCTGGCAGTTATGAGTACTCCGACAGGACCATTTTCGATACACTGAGCTCGTGCAAAATTACCCATATTACCACTGAGAAGACCGAGGCCCAAAGAGAGTGGGACCCTTGTCCCACAGCAGCGAGTTAGCGGCAAAGTTTCCATGGACCTTTTTCCAATCTTCTCTCCCGGAAACGGGACCCCGACCCCCTTCCCGTCTCCTCCTGCACACTCTTTCTCCACCAGGGAGAGTCTGCACAAAAGGCAAACGTCCACCTCAAGCTAGAGCTCCCTGGCGGGTAAAGGCGCCCAACCTCTTTGCGCACGCGCCTTTTAAGCCCGGCCGCCTCGGGCCCTCGGCCCCGCCTCTCCGCCCCTCACCAACATGGTCTCCCGGGCAACGGCCCCTCCTGCCTCGCGCAGACGCGGCCGCTCCCCGCGTCATAGGACCGCGCCGGTCGCCCCAGAGTCGGTGGAGGCTGCACGTGGGCTGAAACTTGAAACTTTCAGGCCCGGCCATGGATACGCCACTCAGGCGCAGCCGACGGCTGGAAGGCCTAAACCCTGAATCCCCCGAGACCCCCAGCTCAGTTTTGAGGGCGAGACGGGCCCTTGTGGAGTTCAGGTCGGATCCAGAAGAAACGAAGGAGCCCGGGTCTCCGAGTGCGCGGCAACCCGACCTGGAGTCCCCCCGCTGTCAGCCGGAGACAAGCCCGGAATCACCTATTCTACGGCAGGGTGCAGGTTTGGGGTCCCCCGGAAGGGAGCTGGAGCCGGGCCCAGGGTACCACCAGGTTCAGCAAGATCCAGGCGTGGAGTCGCCCCAAACGCTTCCGGAGTCGGGTCCACAACCCCCCGGATTTCAGCCAAAGCCAAGTGGGCAGTCAGCAAAGTTCTCCCAAACCCAAGAAGAACTGGACTCGGAGTTGGCCCTGAGTAAGAAGGAGCTGGCCTCGGGGTCTCCCCAACATCAGCTGCAGCTGGGCCCAGGATCCCCTGAGCCTTACCCGGCTCAGCAAGCGCCGGGTCCGGAGCCCTCGCGACCACTACAGGAGCCGACAGCCCAGTCACCCGGCTCCCCCCAGGGTCAGCACGAGCCGAGCAAGCCACCTTCCGCCGGGGAGACGGTGAAAAGCGGCCAAGGGGCAAAGAAGCGGGCAGGTTGTTCAGCCCAGGCCCCAGCGTCCAAGAAGTTGAAGGAGGGGAAGGAGGTTCCTGTAATCCCTAAGGGAAAGCCCAAATCCGGGCGGGTGTGGAAGGACCGCTCCAAGAAAAGGTGCAGTTGGGGAAAGCTAGGCAGGGGTGTGGTTCTCTGTGGTGTTGGGGCACCAGTGCAGCCCGGAGACAGGCTCAGGGATGGAGAGAGCTCACATTTGGGGGGTCTCACACAAACAGGTAATTATAATCAGGCTGTGGTAAAATGCTCTGGGATCCCAGGGAGGGTGAGACCATGCCCTCAAAGGTTATTTCTGTGATGCTTTCCTCCTCAGAGTACCTGTGTCCCTCTCATAGAGTACCTCATTTGTTTTCATTCAACAAGCATTACCTCTGTCTGCCCGCTTTCCAGTGAGGGAAGCAGAAGCAAGTAAACCAGCCCTTACTTGGTAAAAAGCTGTGAGGTCTTCACCAGCTAGTATCTGTTACGGTTATTTGCCCTTGTGTTATACGGTTATTTGCCCTTCTGTTAAAAAATATTATGGAGCACTGAGCCTGTAGAACACTGCTAAGCATTTTGGTAAGGACCGGCCAGTGCAAAGGCCTTGCAGACAGAGGGACTAGCATGCCGCATGCCGTTAGTCTGCACGCAGCACTGTGAAACCTCTGGTGTTAGGATTATCCTCATTTTACATATGGGGAACTCAAGGCTGTGCAGAGAAATCAGGGAGTTATCAGACCATAGGACTTCACGGGTGAAAGCAGAGAGACCAGTAAGGAGGCGGTTGCAGTAGAACTAAAACACATTCAGAAGCTGCAGGTAGGTCTTGTGGATAAGGACCAAAGGGCCACTGAATTGATGTTTGGGCTCTTTGAGGAAGCAGCTTCGGCGGGGGTTGAGCAGAGCCCAGAGACAGTGGATGCAGCACCTGCAGCAGAAGGTGTCCCAGCAAAACGAGGGATATGGAGGGCGGCGGTGGGCTGGGAAGGCCCGGCTGCATCCCCCCCTCCTTCCGTGCTTAGGCCAAATGCCACCTGCACAGTGCCCCTTGGGTGTGTCATCTCCCTCCTCTGAAGGGCAGTGTTTGGTGAGCAGCGACCATGTGCAGAGCATTGTGCTAAATGCCTCTCCAGCCTTGTCTCATTCCCACCCACCTTTGGAACAGGAACCATTCTTGTCTCTGTTTAATGTGGGAAGTTGCTGAAACTCCGGCTACTTTGCCCAAGATCACCCAGGTGGTAGGAGGCAGATCCCGGCCTTGAAACCCAGGCCTGTCTGCCTTCAACCTCCAGGTAAAACCGATACTCTGGATCTGTGTCAGCTCAGTAGTGTAGCCGCCAGGCACACGTGGCAATTTCAGTTTAAGTTGGTTAAAATTTAAAAACTTAAACATTCAGTTCCTCCATCACACCAGCCACATCTCAAGTTGCTCAGCTGCCAGTGACTAGTGGCTGCCTCTCTGGACAGTGTAAATATCGAGCCTTTCCACCAGTACAGACAGTTCTGCTCGGCAGTGCTGCTCTAGAAGGAGGCAGCATTGTGCCCTGTGGCCCTGTGTGTGTCCAGGTCCCCACGGCCTTGTCCCTTTGGGTTTCTCATCACAGGGGTGGGGAGGAAGTCTGTGCTTAGGACGCCAGGTCTTCAGCAGGAAGTCCTAGGGGAGAGGGCGAGGGAGCAGTCGAGGGTCGTTCTGGGGTTAGAACCAGGCTGAAGATGGACAGGCCTTTAGCCCTGGGGTCAAGGTCCAGGCTGTGTGTACCAGACTCCTGTGGAATAAGGGGAGAAAATGACCCAGAAGAGCAGTATTGAGGGAAGTGGTCTCTGCCCTGTGCACCGCAGCCTTCAGAAGCTGGGGTGAGCCCACCGACCTGCAGTGACCATTTGGGGCACCATATAATGGAAGTGGATGAAGAAGAGCTCTTTCAGAAGTCAAGAAATTGGTGGAGGAGGCAAAAAGGCCACTATGAGAGGATCTGCTAAGGAGAAAAGGCGCACGGGGCAGCCGCAAGGCTGCAGATAGCTCAAGGAGAAAGACCTACGGAAAAGGAGAGAGCGTGGTTTGTGACCCCCACCCCCGTTCTCCTCATCTGCTCAGCAGCACTCACAATTGTACTGGTCTAGCTTCGTCTTGCTCTTTGACATTCCTTTCTTTCCTGGAATATTTTCTAGCATGTCGTAGATAGATCATTCCACCCATATGCAGTATGCTTATCTCTTACCAAGATAGTCCTGTTTTTCCTGGGACTGTAATGTCACTGTCACACTTAGGAAAATCAGGACATCCCCGGATATCTTCTCATGCCCACTACATTTTCACATACCCCCGCACTGTTCTGAAATGGAATAGGCCGCCCCTGGAGGGAGTGAGCCCTAGCTCCAGAAGCATTAGCACCCAAGCTGAGCTTGCTTGGCGGAAGCAGCAGAACCTTACGGAAAGGCTGTGGTCTGGACTCTGGTCACGGGTTTCAGTCTTGACAGCTGTTCAGGTACAAGGTGACCTGGCACAGTTATTTAACCTCTTTGAGCCTTGGTTTGCTCCTCTTTAAAATGGGAAGAACAAAAGTACCATCTCAGGGACATGTAACTAAGGCTTAAGAAATGGCAGCCGGCATGCCTGGGGCCCGTTTCTGCAGACCTGGAGGGGTGCTGCCTGGCGAACGGGCAGGGGAGGATGTAATTCTGCCTGGGTTCTGGGGAGGAAGGCCTGGAGCCCAGAGCTGAGGGGAGAGCGGGCATGGGCGCCTCCCACAGATGACACGAGCGCCCATTGTCTCCCTTCCAGGTTCTCCCAAATGGTTCAGGACAAGCCCCTGCACACATCCTGGCAGCGGAAGATGAAGGAGCGGCAGGAGAGGAAGCTGGCCAAGGACTTCGCCCGGCACCTAGAGGAGGAAAAGGAGAAACGCCGGCAGGTGAGGGGCCAGCCAGCCAGGCTGAGGCTGGAGCTCAGGGGGCTCAGGTGGTGACTGCTGGAATGGGCCTGGCGGGGGGCGGGGGGGCGCTGCTGGCCCTAGGAAGGCAGGGAGCCTGGCCAGAAGTAGAAGTGCAGTCTGGGACCGCAGGGTGGGGAAGCCCAGTGCAGCGTCCAGTTTAGCCCAGGGCTCTGTGAGAGACTCAAGGATGGGGAGGAGCCCAGGACAAAGCCCCCCGCAGTGGCCCTCACTGCTGATCAAAGCATTTGGTGAAATGGGCTTCAGGGTCCTCGCTCAGGTAGGAAAGCCTTATCCCCAGTACTGTTGCCATCATTCTCCAAGAGACAGCTACCACGCATCAGCAAAGTGGATACCCCACACCTTCCTCATGCTCTCTCCCTGCCCCTCATCCCCAGGTCAGAAATGCCTGCCTAGAGGTCCACCCCCCCTGACCCGTTCGGGCTCCAGGAAGCCCCAGCAGGCAGCACACGAGAGTATGAGGTCTGCGACCACCCCACCAGGACTGGGGTTATCAGAGGGATGTCACTTGTCTAGTAATCCCAGGGGCACAGGCCCAAGCCTGGCCACCGAGGGAAGGGCCTGGGCCAGGCAATTCAGCCATCTCTCCCCTATTTTGAGGCACCCCAGTGCTGCTGTGTGCCAAGTCCTTATCTTACTTCCTGTGCGGCCCGGACTACCTCTTGAGCAAGACGGGCTTCTTGTCACCCCTGTCCCCCCCCAGGGAGTGTCCCCAGCCCTTCCCTGACAGGAGCCCAAATCTCACTTCTCCTTTCTCCTCCCCAGGGACCCAGGCCACCCTTGCTCCCCTAAGTCCTCAAAGCCAGGAGAGGCCTCAGAGCCGACATCCCTTCGGGCCCCGCCCAGGGCAGCAGTCAGCATAGCCAGAAGACACTGGACTCCCCATCCCTGAGACAGACTCCAACTAGATCCATCTCTGAAGTGTTCCCGCCAGGCCGGTACCCCTCGCAGGCCAGTGCATGCATGCATTCGTTCATTCCTCAGGGCAATCCGCAGTAATGGCTTCACTTCCAGTATGGGGCCTTGAGGCACAGAGAGGTTAAGCAACTTGGCCAAGGTCACCCATTTGGAAGCAGCAGAGCCAGGATTTGAACCAGGCCCAGATAGCCTCTTCCCGGTGGCCTCCACCCCTTCTCCCCTCCCCGCCGCAGCTGATGGGGCGGGGGGTGTGGGGGCCATCATGCATGTGCCTGAGTTTGCAGGTGGGGAGCCACCTGCGTCTTACCTCCCCGCACCTACCATCCTATCTAAGCTGCGCGACCAGGTGCCCACCTTCTCGGCTGCGGTCACGGGCAGGGGCATATCTCCTTGCTGGCCCGCCCCGCACACACCGCCAGCAACAATCGAGCCGGGATGAGAGAGTCTTCCCTCTCCCTGGGAACTCAGCCAGCTTTCACTACCCTGAGGCCTAAGAGACCAGGGCTGCCCTGGCTCCCAGCCTCAAATCCCCATCCCCTCTGTGTTCCAGGAGAAGAAACAGCGCCGGGCCGAGAACCTGAAACGCCGCCTGGAGAATGAGCGGAGGGCAGAGGTTGTCCAAGTGGTGAGTGTTGTCTCGCTTGGGGGGTCTGAACTGCGGCCAGGCTGGGCGCTGTGCTCGAGATGCCTCGGCGCCCCTGCAGGGTGGCCTCCCTTTCCCCAGGGCACAGGGCAGAGACGACAGCCACACTAATGCCCTCTCCTCACACCACCCCCAGATCCGAAACCCTGCCAAGCTCAGGCGGGCGAAGAAGAAGCAGCTTCGCTCCATTCAGAAGCGGGACACGCTGGCGCTGCTGCAGAAGCCACCCCAGGGGTCAGCAGCCAAGATGTGAGCGCCGGACAGCCCAGAGGCCTTCTGTGGCCAACCGCTGTGTCAGACTCGCCCTCGTCGGGCCACTGGGCCACTGGTCACATGCCTCTGCGGGGCACGGCACTCCGGCGCTAGCACCACCCCACCCCACCCCACCCCAGAGGGGCTCTGAGCCTTCCAGGGCTCTCAAGCCCAGAGGGAACCTGCGGCCTGGAAGAGACTGGAGGAGGGAAGAGTTTCAGCCCCGACCCCCGCCTCCTTCCTCCTCTCGCCTCCTTCATCAAGCGCCTTGCAACCATGAAGGGTAAATTCTCTGGTTCCTTGGGAGCTAACAACTGGAGGGTGACTCTCTAAAATGTGTATTTCGTCTCAAGGTCGTGGGTCCGACCCAGGCCAGGAGGCTGCAGTCAGGAACCAGTCCCCCTCGCACCATCCCAAAGGCTGCTTGGGGTGTCTCTGCAGCCCACTGGCCCTGTCACCCAGCCAACTAAACCTGGCTTCCCTGACTTTTCAACACTGAAAGGAGGTTTCAGGGAGTGAGGTCCCCCCCCCCCCCCCCCAGCTCCCTCTCGCCTGTGCCGGACTCTGCAGAAGCCCCACGGATCTGATTCACTCATGCCATTCAGTCTGTAACAAATATTTATTGAATGCCTGTTGTGTACAGGCACAATTCTAGGTATCGGGGAATACAGAGGCCCCTGCCCACAAGGAGCTTTCATTCTGATGAAAAAACATAATAAACAGAAATGGTATTGTGTTAGACAGTAGGAAGTGCTACGAGTGAAGCAGGGGATGGTAGCAGGGAACATGGGGAGGTGTGAAGATGGACGTCGGGTTCGGTCAGCTGTGCATCTGTTCATCTGCTGAGCACCTGCTGTGGGCAAGGCCCAGCACGGTGGTAAACAGTAAGCCGCGCCCCCCCCCCCCCCCCACCCCCCCCACCGCGGTAAACAATAAGCCCCCCCCCCCCCCCCCCCCCCCCCCCCCCCACCCGGGGGGAAAAAAGAAACCCCCCCCCCCCCCCCCCAGCCTGCAGCCCCAGCCAGGAGCGGCACAGGCAGCACTGGACCAAGATTCCACTAATGTTTCACCCACCAAACAGTTACTGGCCACAGCTCTGTGCCTGGCCCTGGGACAGACCCAAGTGCAGTGGTCTTTGTCTTCTAGTGCATGGTGGGTAGAGAAGACATGTCAGGGCATGGGTGCACTAGAAGGAGGTCCGAGTTAGCCCTCCCTGCTACAAATGGGGACAGCCACCCAGCTGCTGTGTGGTTGGGAGGTGGGCATTGGAAAGATTTGGGACTTAGCAGCATTGCCCACAGGGTATTGCATGGTAGAATACCAGGCCCATACAGATGTCGGATTTGTGAGGAAATGTCATGTGCTGTGGTCTCAGGGGCCGCTGTGCACATTCAAATACTAAGAAGACCTTAAGCAGAGAGGCCCACTGCACTTGGATTAGCCCAGGCTGACCATGGCACCCCTTGCTCTTTCTACCTTATAATCCCCTTGGTTGGTGCTGGGGTCAGTAGGGTAGAGATGAGGCCTCTTACAGGCAAGACCTTTAGTACCTTGGGTATGTTGTGGGTGGTGGTGGGAGGGGTGTTCTTTCACTTACTAAACGGTAATTGAACCACATGGTGCTTAATGGTGAGTATGCAGACCCTATACTTCAGGTAAGTGTATTAATCTCCATGTACCTCAGTTGGATCATGGGTAGAAATTGGAGCTAATAGAACCTGTCCCTCAAGATTGTGGGATCAAGCGTCTAGTTCAATAAACGTTGGTTAGGTGACTACATGAAGAGTTAGACTGGACCAGTACTTCCCAAACCTTTCAGTTTTCTACTCCAAACGCACACATCACTGGTTTCCTGTAAAAATACTTCCCTCCCTTCCCCTCCCGCCATCTGGTAAAGCTGAGCTCCAGGAAGGTACATCCTGAGTACCCTAGTTCGAGAAATCTTGTGGTTTTAACCCTGCCTTGGTCCCCATGGGGTCCGCGGACCAGCAGCGCTGACTTCGCCTCCTGGGAGCTTGCTGGAAATGCAGAATCTCGGCGACCGCCCGGCCTGCCAACGACGGTTCTGAAGGTACCTGAGTCACGGGAGGCGTTTTAAAAGGCAGACGCCCCGTCCCGGCCTGATTCTGCCCCCGGGACGTTCTCGCGCGCGATCGCCAGCCGCCCCCTACCCCGACATGGTGCTCAGCGCCCGGTTCAGGGGGCCCCTCTCGTCCTGCGACCTGGAGCGGGCCCGCTGCGCGGACGCCGTGCGGCCGCCCCACAGCCAGGCGAGCAGGCGCGCGGGCCTGGACCCGGGCGGCGGGCGGGCGGCGGGGCCCGGGCGGGGGCCGGAGGGGCGGCGGCGGCGGCCGCTGCCCAGGCCACCCAGCTCGCTGTCGTCCAGCAGCACGCTCTCCAGCACGCTCCGCAGCGAGCGCCGCAGCTTGTGCAGCACGTCGGGGCAGGTGAACACGTAGAGCAGCGGGTTGACCACGCTGTTGATGAAGGCCAGGCTGGTGACGAAGGGCAGGCCGCGCCACACGAGCGGCCGCAGCGCGGGCTGGGTGTGCGCGCGCGCCTCCAGCAGGCTGAACACGTGGTAGGGCCCCCAGCAGAGCGCGAAGGCCGCCACCACGGCCGCCACCAGGCGCACGAAGCGGCTGGGCCGCGGGCGGCCGCGGTGGCGCAGCTGCACGCTCACGACCGCGTGGCTCGAGGCGATGATGGCCAGCGGCACGACGAAGGCCAGCAGGAACTTGCTGACGGCCAGGGCCGCCTGGCGCGAGTTGCACGTGGCGTCGCGGTCGGGCCCAGGGTTCAGGAGCAGCACGTTGTAGTAGCACATGATGCGGCCGTCGAGCCGCGGGATGGTGTCCCGGAACACGAAGTAGGGCACAGTGTTGAGCACGGCCAGGGCCCAGAGCCCCAGGCAGACCCTGTGGGCCGCGGCCACCGAGCGGTGGTTCTGCGCCCACACGGGCCGCACCACCTGCAGGCAGCGGTCCAGGCTGATGGCGCTAAGCAGGAAGCCGCTGGCGAACATGTTGAGGAAGAAGATGGACGAGTGCAGCTTGCAGAAGGTGGTGCCCAGCTCCCACGAGTGGCCCACGGCCAGGAAATAAGTGAAGAAGGGCAGGGTGGCGGTGGCCAGCAGGTCCGACAGCGCCAGGTGCAGCACCCAGGTGGTGACCACGGTCTGGCGCATGCGGCAGCCCACCACGAACAGGATGAGCCCGTTCTCCACCAGGCCCAGCAGCGAGGCCAGCCCGTGCAGCAACACCGAGGCGTGGTCCATGTAGCGGATGCTGGAGTTGCTGTGCCTTTGGATGCGGCTCATCTGCTCCAGGATCGGGCAGAGCGGCTTCAGGGTGACGTTGGCTGACATGGTGAGCTCTGCGGTGGAGAGAAGGAGGCGCTGAGGTAGGCTGGGCAGGGGCAGCCGGGGACCCTCCCCAGGAGATCTGAATCTGCCCCGTGAATGGTATGGATGACACCACAGGGGATTAGTGAAGTTGAGCAAAGACAGTAAGGTGGGGGGAATAGCATCCCAGCTGCACCCCTGCTCACTGCAACCTTGGGCGAGCCATTTAACCTTCCTGAGCTTGTTTCCTCCTTTGTGACGTGGATGTCAGTCACAACAGGACCTAGATCCTACAGCTGTTGGGCATGTTCAGTGAGTTTACATACATAAGCATTTTTAGAGCAGAGCCCAGCGTGCAAGAAGCACTACACCCGTGTTGTGATTATTATTCCGCAGGTCCCCTGGGGTCACATGGAGAAACAGAAACAAGGCCAGGCCATACAGGACTCCTTTTCCCCATTCCCAGGGCACTGGGGCACCAACGAGGTCCCACCTAAAGGGCAGGAGGGGCCAGCTGGTCTGGGGAATGGGAATGGGAGAAGTCTGTGTCTTTAAGGGATGCGCCCTCCCCACCCACAGCACCCTCAGATCTTGCCTCTGCAGCCTCTCTGGGTGGCCCTTTGCTTCCACAGCACTGGCAGGTTGGGTGTGTTGACCTTGAACAGTGGAGCCAGCCCTTCCTCTGGTAGTTGGAGAGGAAATAAGATAAGAGCAAGGAGAGAGCTGGGCATGAGGAACTACCAGACCTGGGCCCTGGAGGCCCAGTGGGGCTGGAGGACTGTTCCCCTGACCAGGGGGGCAGCCGAGCCCATCAGCCCACCCAGGAAAACCCAGCCTGCCCATTTACTTGCTCAGTGATGCTCTCATTCAGCAGATGGTCATTGAGCAACCTCTCAGGTAAGTGCTGCGGCAGCCGACCTCTGGGGGATGTGCAGACACCCCAGATGTGCACACCGACAGCCTCCTCAAAAGCCCAAGACCACCGAAGTGAAGCTGGTTGAGATGGGGGAGGCCTGAGGGGGAGGGGTGGGAGGCTGCTGACAGGAGGTAGGGGACAGGGAGCGGGTGTTGGGGACTCAGATTGTCCTGGGGCCCCCCTGTGTGCCCGAGACCCCGAGAGGCCCTTTACATAGGTGCTGTCTTGCTCAGGACTCGAGAAGAAAGGCTCTAGAACTTCACTCCATCCCATTTTACAGGGGAGGAAACTGAGGCCCAAGCCACGCACATAACACGGACAAGCGGAGCTGCAGCAGTTTAGCGCTCGGCCCGTTCTCTTTCCCACGCCTCTGCTGTAAGCAAGCACCTCTGTTGTAAGCAAGCGTGGATGGAGGAAGAAGGGAGGGAAGTGGGGGGTGGTCCTCAGCACTCCCATTTCCAGGGGGAGCGCTGTTGGCCAGGATGAGAAAATCCACAGTCTTCTCCAGGTATCACGGTCCTTTGTGAGGTGCAGCCCCAGGACATCAAACTAGATTTTTCCAGGCAGACGAGCCCTTGGAGCTGGGGATCACAGGGAGGTGGGTGGGGAGCAGTTGGGTCCGTGCTCCCCGAGAATGCTCATGCTTCCCAAGCGTTAGAGTTTGCAGAGCAATTGCACTCACAGTGACCCTGTGAGACCCCATTTTTCAGAAGAGGAAACTGAGGCTCAGAGAAGCATAGCAACGTGCCCAACGTCGCTCAGCCGCAGTGGAGCAGCTGGGACTCCACCCAGCAGACAGATGAGTGCCATCCCCTCTCTGCACTGAAACGTTCCCTTCACTCCAGCAGCCTCTTGGCCAGGTCCCTTGGGGATGCCCAGACAGCACAATACTGCTACTCCCAGGGGACCCATCAGGTTTGGGCTTTCTGGCTGCTTGGAGCTGGCACCCAGCCTCCTGGGATTCTCAGGGAGCGCGGCATCTAAGGTCCGGCTCTGGTGGGGGTTGGGGCAGAGAAGGCAAGCTTTTAGGGTCAGTTACCCTAAGACTGCTCCTCTAATCTCCCCTCCCCACCGCCCCAGATTGCTTGTGAGCATGGAGAGAGGCTTCTGTGGGTCACCACTGTGCCTGGCTTCTAGTGCCTTCCCTTCTGCAAGCAGCTCGTCCCCTCCAGTCTTTGGTAAACCCACCCCTCTGCCTAGTCGTTAGGAGCCTGTCCCCTGGCAAAACTGCACCTTCCTTTGTGGGTCCAGAGAGGGCACGGAGGCTGCCCAGCCCCTGGGCTATTGCTCCCTTACCTGGGCACAGAAGGAGCACAGGATTCCCGCCCTGGGGACAGTCAGCTCCCGGTGGCAGCCTGCCGAGGAGGCGCTGTGGCACCGCACGGGGCAGGCAGAGGCAGGGGAGTGAGGCTGAGGGAGGAAATGGCTACCCGCCCCAGAGTGTGTGTCTGTATGTGTGTGTGTCTATGTCTGTGTGTGTTCAGGGGTGGGGTTGCAGGAGGCGGGGACAGCCAGAGGGTGAGTTGTCACAGTGGTATTCAGTAACAGCCATCTCCATCAATGAGAAAGGGACAAAATTGCTGGCAGCCCCTGCCCCCCTCCCCTGCCCCCCAGAGATTTTGCAGGAGCCCTGGGTCCCTGCAAGGGCAGATGGGGGAATGGGAGCGTGCCTCCGGGGCTGCGTTTGAGGGCGACCGCTGTGTAGGAGAAGTCCGTGAGGGAGAGGACATCTCGTGCATGGGTCCACTGTCCTTGGGTGCCCTCTCCTGACCCCATAATCCTCAGGCAGGCAGGGTGCTGGCAGTGGGAAGAGCAGAGGCCAGGCTGCCCCTGCAGCCCTGGGGGGCGGGGGGCGGGCAAGCCCCTCCCCCTGGTTTTGCCATCTCGGCGCCACCCCTTCATTCACAGAGTGCCAGGCACACAGTAGGTGCTCGGAGAAATCAGTCCTTTTTTCTTCTGGGGGTGGGGGTGGGGTGGTGGGGGGAACATGGGTAGAGACTGCAGGGCAAGGGCTATGCAGCTTTTATTTAAAATGGGCCCGGAGCCCTACAATGAGCTAATGGAACTTTATTTTGGAGTTCGCATTTAATGGTTCCCCAAGTCTTTGCTCACCAAGCGTCCTGGGGTCAAATTCAGCGTCCCTGCACCTAGGAAGTGCTCAGTAGAACATGCGTAAAAACTCTCATATCGAGGCAAGGGCACCCCCTCCCATGGGATTGACTCTACAAGACTCTTCCATTTAGACGCAGGCTCCATCACAGGGCCTGGCACTTAATAATCTTGTGGGAAGCCTGCGATCCCGAGTGAAGAATGTCTAAAATACTGTGACCTTGTGATGGGGATAATATTTTTCACTGCAGCCCAAGATGGCAGATCAGTAAATGACTTGATTATCCAAAATATTAGCATGGGGAATTCTTCTTTCCTGTAGGTCACGGAGGGCCTGGTCTTCCAGAGACAAGTGTTTGCACCCCTCCCTAAAAAACAGGCAGATGTCTCCATCCTGCTTTGGGGAAATTCCCCCCATCCTGACCCACCCCCAGCCCCAACCTGCTGGCCCGCGGCCATCCTCCGAGGGCATGCCATTAGGGTAGTGTAGTGGGTGAGCTCAGGGACTCTGCAGCCAGATCCAGCACTGCCACTCCCAAGCTATGTGACCTTGGGCAAATAACCTCACAGCAGGAAAATAGGGTTTTTAAGAGGGACTCCTTCTGCACAGCCCCTGCCTCAAAGTGCAAGGATTGGTGTGCACAGACTGCTCCTGGGGCTAAGAAAGAATCCCCCTTTCCCTCCTATAGACACATTTTGACAGGGGAGCATCAGGCTTGAGCCCCCTCCCTCGGGATCTCAGCCCTTCCTTGCCTCCTCCAGGAGGTACCCTTGTGCAGTGAACATCCTGCACAACGTCTCACGGCGGCCCTGCTAAGGGGCTTCTTACCTGACACCCTCATTCGGACCTTTCCCCCAACCCCTGTTTCCAATCCTGTAATCACAGTGGTGGCTCCTCCCAACCCTCCCTGAGGACAATTGATGAAAAGTTGCTAAAACAAAAAAATAGTCCAGATGGGCAGGGCCCTAAGATTTTCTAAAGAAGACAGTGACGTTTGTTCTGGCAGGGCAGGGTGGCAGGGGGCTTGACTGCCCTCCCGCGGTGGAGACGGACGTCTCGGCACGTATTCCCCAGTGCCACGGTCCCTCAGCCCCTAGGCGCGGGATGCTGGGGCGGGGAGGCAGGAGTATCAGGAACCGGGAGCCAGCGTCTGCCCCTCGGAGGGAGCCTTGAGGATAGACAGGAACAGAGGGAGCCTTAGGTGGGGGCTCGCTGGCTGGAAGCAGAGGGCAGGAGCCTCCAGTGACCAGGCATCAGGAGCTCAGGCCAAGTTTAGAAGTTAGAGGACCCTTAGTGGAGCCCTCCCCAGGGTCAGGCTGGGGTCTTCAGGAGGACGCCAAGACTGCCGATGGGCCTTTACTGAGGGGAGAGTCCGGGGGAGGGTGACCGGGGCCTTTGGGAAGGGCCTAAAACCATACAGACCAGTGACTCTCAGCTGAGTGCACATCGGGACCTCCCAGGGGGGCTGGTCACACCGAGGCTGCTGGGCCTCTCCCCCAGGGGGTCTGGGGCGCAGCCTGGGCATTTGCATTTCCATCAGGTTCCCCAGCGGATCCCCGTGCTGCTGCTTCTGGGGGCACAGAGGACGCTGACCCACTGGAAAGGAGAGTCGGGGTCCTTGGGCCTGGGGTGCTCGGAGCAGGGGGCAGCAGCTCTGCCTGGAAGAGAGTGCTTAGCTGAGGGGCTTCCCCCAAGGCCTCCCCTCCCTGCTGTGGGGGTCTGAGGAGAGAGTGAGCCCAGCGCTCGGCCCCAAGCCGGCCCCCAAGTGACAATGCAAAAACCAGCTGCCTCTTATTTAGTTATTTTTGGTGCGCTGCGTTTCCATGTCGTCTTCTTCCTGGCTCCAGACATTGCACTTGCCTTTTTCAGTCACATATTTGCCAAAAACCTTATTTTGGAAGCCCATGAAGTCCCTACCATAAGAGGTGAAGCACAGGATCCCACAGAATCCCAGGAGCGTCAAGCCCCCTGCTCCAGAGTCGAAGTAGGTTCATCACTTGAGGCTGTCCGCAGTGACGCTGACATGGACGTCAGCGAGGCTGTGCCTTGCCAGACAGAACGTGCGGGAGCCAGGGAAGGGAGAGAGCCTTCCTTGCGGCTGGCGGTGCCTCAGGGACCTACCTGCAGGGTTTAGAGATTAAGGAGCCTCAGGCCCAGGGAAGCTGGTGTCCCGACCTGAAGAGTGGGGATGTGGCTGCCCACAGGGACATTTCAGCCTGGCTTCTCTGAGCACTGGGATGAATCCCTGAGCGGGGGGGGCTGTCTTCAGCCCAGCCCTGCCCGCCTGTCCAGGGACCCCCCACCCGCACCCCCCAGGCACAGGCCTGGTCCCTGAAGCACAAGCTTGTCTGTGGCCTGAAACTCGCTGTCACAGCCAGCAAGAGCAGAAGTCAGGTCCATCTCTGCGTCAACCTCAGCTACCCCAGGCAGGAAGACAAATCAAAGCCTAGCAGACCGCCACTGGGTCTCTGTGGCCTGTGGGAGCCGTGCAGACCTCACTCGGATCCAGCACACCGCCTGCAAGTGCCTGCACCTTTCCCCATGTCCCCAGCTTCCCCATTGCCTACCTACCTACCTATCTTCACCTACCCCAGTGCCTTTGTATGGCTACTACCTGGAATGCCCTTTGCCCCTCGCCTGCCCATCCAGCAGGCCCACTTTCCCAGACCCTGAGTGTCTCGGGCTCCCAAGAACATGTTTAGCACATCACCTGTTGTTTAACCAACGCAGAGAGTGGGCCCCAAGGGAAAGTATCCCCCAGCTTCTCCCCAGTTTCTCCCCAGTTTTCTTCCTCTGCTCCTGCCTTAGGAAGTAGGTTTCTGTTTTTCCTTTCTGACCTTTTTACAGAAGTTAATCAAAGAGGAAGTGAGACCCACAGCAGGAAGCAGGGAGGACCTGCCCTACAATCCACCAACCCCCTTACTCAGGAGGTCCTGGCGATGCCCACGTGCAGCAGAGAGGCAATGTGAGAGGACCTTGTCCTTCCAGCCTGGAGAGGCCCCGTCCTCCTGTGGCACCCTCCTGTCCCTGACCCTCATGAGCAGGTGAGACAGGGCAGAGAACTCACTTAGTGAGCCCTTCAGGCTCACGGCACCCCAGCTAGGTTGATCTTGTTCTTAATTCCATTCTATAGATTAAGAAATTTGAAACCCCATTTTATTTTTTTTTAAGATTTTATTTATTTATTTGTCAGAGAGAGAGAGCGCGCACGGCAGGCAGAGGGAGAAGCGGGGCCAGATGTGAGACTCGACCTGGGATCATGACCTGAGCTGAAGGCAGACGCTTAACCGTCTGAGCCACCCAAGTGTCCCAGAAGCCGCACTTTAAAAAGATAAAAAAGAAATTTAAAAGGTAAGAGATGAGCAAACAGGTTTAGAAAGAGGTCAAGTGGGAAGCCAAGACCCCAAGTCAGGTCACTCTGATTTGACCCTTTCCTCAGCAGTGAAAACAATCCGTGGCTTTTATTGCTCTTGCGTCCAAGCGACGCAGACTCTCTCCGTGCCGTCCGTGGGCCCCCTTAGTTCATCTTCACAGCAAGCCTACAAGTTAGGCACTGTTACTGGTCCCATTATACAGATGAGAAAATCGAGTCAGCGAGCGGGTAAGTGATTTTTCTAAGGTCTCCGGTGGTGGAGTGGGGGAGCCGGTGTCCTTTCCAGGCTGGTGCCTGTGGGCTTTTGCAAGAACTGGAATCATAACCAAGGGCTCAGAGCTCCGCCTCTCGGGCCAGTTTAGCACAGTTTTTCTCAAGGGCATTCTTCTGCCCTTCGCCAGGAGGAAGTTCCCTTGCTCTTTTCCCGCCTGTCCAGGGCCTTGGGAGACACCCTGCCATCATGCATATGGATCTCTCTGTGTATCTCATTCCATCCCCACCATCATCAGGCCCATCCCTACTTTACAGAAGGGACAGGTCCTTTCGCCCCTGAGCAGCAAGTGCAGGATAGAATCCCGGCTCTCAGCTCCTCCGGCTGGGGCTCTCTCCGCCATCTGAACCGTACCCCCTTCCCTTCGGGGACAGCTCTCTGTCACAGCAGGAGGCAAACACATGCGGAGGGAGTGACGGAGTAGGGAAACCACCACCCCTGGGTGAAGGTTTGCTGAGGGGGAGCAGGACAGTCGCATACCGGAGTCTCCAAGCGTCTCCCCATCAAGGACTGCCCATGTCCCAAGAGAAACAGTAACTTAGCAGCAGACGGGGCTCTTCCTGCCGGGGATGGGCTGAATGGTGCCCCCCATTCGTATGCAGGAGCCTGAACCCCCATCACCGCTGAATGTGGCTGTATCTGGAGGCAGGTCCTTTAAGGGGTGATTGAGTTATGGTGAGCCTGTGAGGATGGGCTCTAATCCAAGCTGAGTGGTGTCCGTACAAGAAGAGAAAACACGGACCCACAGAGCCACGGGAGATGTGTGCACACAGAGGAAAGACCACGTGAGGACACAGGGAGAAGGTGGCCATCTCAAGCCAAGGAGAGCAGCCTCAGAAGAAACCAGACCTGCTGACACCTTGACCTTGGATTTCCAGCCTCCAGAGCTGTGAGAAAATAAATGTCTATTGTTGAAGCCACCTGTGTGGCTATACCGTTTTGTCACAGCAGCCCTAGCAAATTAATGCACCTGCCAAAAGGGCATCACCTGAATCGAATCAAGAAGAAACACCAGGTCAACCCGCGTGAGGACCATTCTGTCAAGTTATCGGCCTCTACTCCTCAAAACATCAAGGGTACAAGGAACAAAGACCGATAGAGGGACAGTCCCAGGCTGGAGGAGCTCAAGAAGCCTGCTCCTGGTCTAGGAAAAAAACACTTTTCTCCTTTGCTGTAAAAGTCACGATTAGGACCGTTGGTAAATTGAGTAAGGTTTGTAAATTGGGCATTTGTGTTATACCAATGTTGATTTCCTGGTTTTGATCATTTTACTTGTATTTTAGGAAGCACACACTGTATTCGGGGGTAAAAGGAGAACCATTTGCAAACAGCTCTCAAATGTTATGGAAGAGAGTGTGGATGTGGGCGTCTGTGTACATACAGAGAGCGAAAGAGCGAAAACAAATGTAAAAAGACACTGTTAAAAAACAAAATTCAATTGAGTACATTTTTAACAACCTACTGGCTTTATGCAACCATTCATGAATCAGGCAGCATCCCTGCAGATAGGAAGGTGCTCAGAGGAGCTATCCAGAAAGACTTTTATAGGCAGAAGGGAGCAAGAACAAGGAACTTATACAAGTAAAAATGGGGGTTGGTTCATTGCAAGGTCACTTTCCTTTAGGGGATGGAAAGGGTCTGTTGGTCAGATTATTGGCTGAGGCTAATCAGACCATTCCTTTTTTTTTTTTTTTTTTTGGCTGGTTTAAGATTCCATTTCTGGGAGAGCCAAAACTGTAATTAAGTCTTGGTTTGATGACATGAGATTTAGCATAAATGATGCTATTTTGGGGCATGTTGTCTTGTTTTTAACAAGTTAATATCTGAGAGATCTGAGTGAAGGGTATAGGGAAATTCTTTTAAGTAAGTCTAAAATTGTTTCAAAAGAAAAAGTTTAAAGCCTTCTATCGTCCTTTAGGAAAAACCCACCTCACCAGCCCTTACCCCTCCAGGGACCCCAGTCGGCCTGAAATCCACTGTTTGCAGCCCTATTCCTTTATCACCCCAAATTCCCTCTGCCTCAACACGATACCCCCCCCCCCACCCCCGGTGCCCCCCCCCCCGTGCCTCTGCCACGCCTAGCCTGGCCCTGTGCCTCAACTTGCCCTGCACCCAGGGAGACCCTCCAAGCTCCCCCCACCTAAGCTCTAGTCATGGTGAAGTTCAAGCGCTAAATCATTACCACCTGGAACTTGTCACACCCATTCTTCGTCACTGTGTGTCTTTCTGTCCACCCTGCGAGCATTCTCCCCAGTTTGCTAGCAGGGAAATGAATCCCAGAAAGTGAAGTGTCCCGGCCACAGCTAGAAAGAGGAAGAGGTAGGGCCTGGGTTGGAGCCAGACTCTTGACCGAGCCACACGCCGCCCCGCTCCTGTGGCTGACACTCAGCGGCGTTCACTGGCAGAGCCTCCCCCACAGGAGGCTGGTGGTAACGAGGCCTTGGGGGAGGCCTTGGGGCTGCCTGGCCCACGGGAAGTGCTGCTGCCTATGAGCCAGCCTTCTTGTGGTTGTTAATGGACTTTATTTCTCAGAACGGTTCCAGATTTAGCACAGAGGTCCCATGTGCCCCGCACCCAGTGTCCCATAGGGTGACCCTCTCACATTCGGGCAGTAGGTTTATTACAGTTAATGAACCACTGTTGATCCACTGTTACGAACCTAAGTCCATTTCCTTAGCTTCTACCTCCGGTCCTTGTTCTGCTCCAGGGTCCCGTCCGGGAGGCCACAGTCCATTTCTTGTCCATTCTCGTGATTTGTCACTAGTGACAGCCATGGCCCCGTTAATCGCCCTGATCGTCAGGAGGGCCCCATGAGGGGCTACCAGTCTGTCTACTGGCCTGTCACCCCATCTGTCTGCCCGCTCTCAGGACACGGGCAGCGTCTTGGCCTCTGGAGTCTGCTTAGCCCCCACCCCCCGAAAGTCCTGTTAGTTACCTAACCAGGCCCGCTACCCACCCCCCATGGCCCCTGCAGCTTCTGGTGGCCCCAAGGCCCCAGTGCAGGCAGGAGGCCCTGGAGAGCTGGCCTGGATAGGGAGGGGACTATGAGAGACTTGGAACCCGCCCTTGGCTCCCCCCCCCGGCTCCCCCCCTTGGCTCCCCCCTCCCCCGCAGCCTCACCTGTACCAGAAGCTTCCCTCCTTTCCACCTCCCAGCCAGGATCACCTGGCTGAACCCCGCAGAGCCGGCCTCAAGGCCCAGCTATAAGGCGGGAAGTCAGGGTGAGGGACCGCTTTCGGGGCAGCCTGTCAGGGTCCCTGGCTGGGAGGGGGCCTTCGCTGGCCTTCAGGGCGGGAATTTCGCCAGAGCCCCTGGTGGCCAGGCAGGGCTCCTCCAGGTGGGCGCCCTTTGCCCCTCGAAGTTCCCACTTGCCACCTCCCCCATATAAGTCCTGGGCCTCACCTGGGCGGACAGGGGACTGGGGGGGTTGCTGTGGTGTGTGTGATGGCAGGAGCCTCGGCCGGGGTCTGGGATTGCCACGTGGCCCTGCTGCTGGTGACTGCTCTGGGGCTGGGGCAGCGGCTACACCCCAAGCCTGGTCTCTCCAGCCTGGGGTACAGCTATGACTGTGGGGTCAAGGGCCTGCAGCTACGGGTGCTCCCCCAGTCAGGCCAGACGGTCCGCTTCAAGGTGGTAGGTGAGTGTGGCTGAACCGTGGTCCCCACTTCCCCGGGCTGCGGGGGGGGGGGGGGCAGGGCCCCCCCCCCCCCAGCGGGAACAAAGGGGGGGGCCGCTCGCCCCCCATCCCCTTCCCAGGGGGGGGGGGTGGGAGGGCGGAAGGGGAGTTACCAGTCTTGGTTTCCCTGGTCACCCAGGGAAGTGTGCACAGGCCCTCTTGCTGAGATGCGGTCTTGATTCATGGGGCACAGGCTCTGCATCTGTGGCGGAGCTCAGCTGATGCCCAGGCTACTGGCCCACGGAGCACGCTGAGTGGCAGGGCCCTGGTGGGCCTGGCCTGGTGCGAAGAAAGGTGGGGGGCATTCAAAGGAGGATTTGAATCTGCAGCTTCTAGGCTCTGTGTTCTTGAACAACTCACCTGACCTCTCCGAACCCATTTCCTTATCTGTAAGATGGGAATGAAGACCCCCCAACCTTGCCCTGTGCACTGAACAGGAGTCCCGGGGGCATGCCCACACCCGGGGAGCACCCTGCTGCTCTGCTGACAAGAGGGGGTGCACCCCTAGGATGCGTCCCCCGATGACTGCAACAGCCGGTTAACCTGGCAGATAACCTACAACACGCCAGGCTCCCATCATTCCGCCCCTCATCGTGTGCACCTGGCAAAGCTCCCGCCCGGCACCTCAGCAGCCTCCTCCACAGAACGTGGAGAGCCAAGGTTACGGGAACAGGCAGAGAATACCCAGCCGGGTGCCTGAGACCCTGCTAACCTTTGCCCCCCCCCCCCCCCCATATCTTCATTCCTGCTTGCTGTTGTGTGCTGTTAACCGGGAACCGTAGCTGGAAAGATCAAAGACCAGCTAAAACTATTCTCTTACAGACCGTAAGCTGGTAGCAAAGCTAAGGCTGAAGCTGGGGGCTCCCACTCCCGAGTGTGGCTTTCTCAGCAGATGCTAACAGCCTCTGGCTTCACCCTTAAATGTTTTTGTGGGTTTTTTTAGATTTTATTTATTTATTGCCACAGAAAGAGAACACGAGCAGAGGCTGATGGAGAGGAAGATGCAGGCTCCCAGCTGAGCAGGGAGCCCGATGTGGGGCTCAATCCCGGGACCCTGGGACCATGACCTGAGCCGAAGGCAGACGCTTAACCAGCTGAGCCCCCTTGGCACCCCTCATCCTTAAACATCTCTGATGCTTCCCTTCCCTCTTTCTCTCCCCTGCCCCAGATGAATTTGGGAACCAATTTGAGGTGAACAACTGCTCTGCTTGCTACCACTGGGTCAGCACCAAGCCCCGGGCACCCGCTGTCTTCTCTGCAGGTTACAAAGGCTGCCACGTGCTGGAGAAGGTGGGGACCGGTCCTGCTCCGGGCCCACGGTGGGGCAGGGGGACACGGGGCATAGCTGGGAGCCAGGTGGACCTTGCACAGCCTCAGGCTGGAGAGGGAGCTCACGACCAATCACTGTGCTTGTCACAGCTGCCTTTGGGCTGGTGGGTGGTGGGTGGTGGGTGGTGGGTGAGGGGGGGGCTAAGTCCCGGGACCAGCCCACAGATCAGCTCCCTGCCTGACCCCCCCACCTCCGCCTGGGATGCTGGGCAGCCTCCCCTCACTGCCCCCCTCAGCCCCATCCCCCTCTCTCGCTGCCCCCCTCACCCCCATCCCCCTCTCTCACTGCCCCCCTCACCCCCATCCCCCTCTCACCTGCAGGACGGGCGCTC